TATAGGACAGGGGGATTAACACCAGATGATTGCACTTAGTTGTGGACTACAGAGTCACAAAGGGGCTCAGAGAAGCAGACCCAGACAGGGCCGAGAACTCTCCTGAGGGGACTGAAGCCACTGAGCGGGGAGGACAGAGCCCAGAGGGAGGCCCAGGGCTGGGGGGAGGCTGGCAGGTGCCTTCGGGTGGGGAGGTGACGTGCCCTAAAAGGTGTGACCCTCCTCCCCATACAGAGTTGTAAGCCACTGTTACCGCCAGGGCAATAAATTAAAAATGTGTAGATCAAAACCAAAGGCCCAAGGGCCCTCCCTGGGGGTGCAGTGGGCTAAAGCACAGCACTGAGAAGCTGAAGCCACCTCAGCATGAGTTCAATCCCCGCCCCGAGGTGACCCCCAGGGCGCGGCAGACCTCTCCTGGCCCGCCCGCTGCTCCCCTCCACAGTGGACTTTGTCAGTCGGCCTGTGCTGCTCCCCACTCTGTCTCGTCTCGGGTGAGTCCTTTCACCGCCCCTGCACTTCTGGCCTGTCCCCCAGTTCTGTATGCATCAACAAATAAATCTTTGAGAAAAAAAAAAGCCCAAACGGCTCGCCAGGCCCACGGGAGAGGAGGAAGCAAGGGCCGCCGGGCACAGGGAGACACTTCCGATGAGGAGCCAGGGGAGCTGCTCCCCACCTTCACAGCTCACCCCAGCTTCCCGCCCCAGGCCAGTCCGCATGCTGCCAGCACAGAACTGGGGTGCACTCGCCAGGAGCAGCCACACAGGCGCCCCCTGAGGGCTCGTGCGGCTGAGGGCCTGTGCTGGAGTTTTCTTAAAGATTTATGTATCTATGCACACAGAGCTGGGGTGCAGGCCAGAGGTGCAGGGCGGTCCTGCACCCTGCGCCCCAGGGAGGCCCGGATGCTGGTGTTTCCTCGAGGGTTTCTGCATCAGTGTTCACAGCAGGGCGTGATCGCCATCCTCCCTGCTTGGAACGTCTTCATAGGTTTGGGGTGAGGCTCCCGCCATAGGGGCCGTCGATATTCTGTGCTGCTGTGTTCTGGGGCAGCCTGTGGGGCACCTCTGGCCTGCACCTCTGCTGCCCCCCGGGACCCGGGCGGTCATCTCAACATGCGCGTGGGGCGCCACTGTGTCCCCAGTGTCCCCCAGCATTTCCTC